AACGAATAAAATGCACCTACCTTTGACTCCGTACAATTCTTCAATGGCGAGATATTCGTATCTCGCCAATTTTTTTCTCGTGTTCCATTTCTTCCATGAGCCACTGTAATTTGATTTGAGTGAAGTCAAATAAAAACCAAGCAAATCGATTAAAAATATAAAACTTTTTGCGGCAGTGTTTGTTTAGATATTCAGATTATCTTATAATAATATAATATGTACGTATAACTTTTACATGAAGTGTATCTTTTCCAGAACTTATATATAATTTGAGATAATAAATTTAAGAAAAAGGTCCAACGTCGTTCATGATTTGTTGTATCAAGTTCTGATTAAGACGCCAAACCCTCTGATTTCCTCTACAATTGATTGGAATACTCAAAGGTTTCACCTCGCTAATAAGCCAACAATACAATTGCTTATTTTCATCAAAATGATCTTTCCAAACTTCATCATCAGGAATTTCTTCGGCTTTTAAACAAGCGATAAACTTTGCCAATCCAAGGATTTTGCCACAATTTTCACGAAGATGATCTTCTGATGGTAATTCTGACCATCGTGTAAATCGAATAGTTGCACAGATTTCGGGATCTAAAAGGCGTGTTGAGCCGCCTGCGTGAATTGCTAACCAGATTCCTTCACCATTTGGTATTTCGAGCTGATAGCTTCGCATCTCGATTCTTTTGTTTCCATAAATGATGCTTGTTGCATATGGTTCTAATACTGTTAGCGCTTGTAAATTTGGAATTTGCGTGTTTGACATAGTGATGAAGAAAGTAATGACAACAAACAAATACAGTTGTTTTGGTATTTATGTACATGTATGTAGCACAAGATCACGTTGATCTGTTTTACATATCGATACACGTTAAACGGGGAAATTTTTGAGAAATTCGGGTTACAGAGATTTACTTTATAAATTCGGTTTACGGTTTTTGATCGAACTTTTAACGGGATTCACTGTGTATGCAAATTATAACGGTGATTAAAGCTTACTGACTTTCTTATTGACTTCATACTCTGATACATTGGCAAAATTTTATGAAAATGCGATATTTGGAGATATTCGAAATTCTGTAAGAACTTTTAATGCGCATTTATCAAGTGACGCAATCGGAATATTTTCTGTTGTTCTTTCTGATGCGTGGGTAAAACGAGAACCTAACAAAATGATCGTCCTTAAGAAACCACGTATTTTTGAAACCTTATTAAGGTAATCTTTAATGATAATGTTTTGAATTTATTAAATTGCAACTATGGTTATACAATATATAAGATATATGCGATTTGTCAGATATGGAATGTCAACGCTTTTAGATTTATTGGTCGTTGCTGATGAATTGATCTTGATGATTTGATTAAGAAACAGTATAAATAATTAAACTCACGAAATTAATCATTTAAAATAGAGATGATTCAAAATATATGTAAAATGCTGTAATACAGATTATTTCTTTTCCGCTCCTTTTTGAGTTTTGAATTTGATTGTGAACATTAGCATCTTATAATATCCATAATATTACAATTCTCCAGTCAGCGCATTGCTACATACTATTTTAAATAAATATAGCATTGTTGCGTTTGTGGAGGGACTTGTGAGTTTTATTTGTGACAATGGTTTTGGACGTGGGCATTAGATAAATCGCGTAAGTTTGAATCGATTTCATGTGCCGAGAATGAGATTCAAGAAAAGTGTTAGGGAAATAAAATGAATTGGGTATGGGAATTGTGAAATTAAAAGATCTTCGAGTTTATTTAGGTCAGCTATTTGTGGAAATGATTTATATGAAAATATATATATATATATACAGTGGCTCTTTTAAACTTAAACTTTTCATCACCCCACTAACACAATGTATGTCTTCTTCTGCAATACATATTTGGTGATATCCTGAATATAAATCTAGCTTTGAAAAGTATTTTGATCCTGTGAGTCTGTCCATCAACTCATCAACTCTTGGTAAGGGGTAGCAATTCTTGATGATAATTTTATTCAAAGCTCTATAATCAACACATAGCCTTAATGTACCTTCTTTCTTATGTACAAAAAGTACTGGTGCTCCAAATGGTAAGATACTTGGGTGAATGAAATCTTTCTGTATTAAATCAGCTAATTATTTCTTGAGCTCATCCATCTCTGTAAAAGAAAGGACCTGGATGATGGTTCAGATCCTGGAATAAGATCAATTTTATGATCAATTGCTCTTTTGGATGGTAGTTGATTTGGTAAGATTTCTGGAAATACATCTTTATATTTCTTCTTGATTTCTAAGACTTCTGATAAAAATATCTTTTCTTTGGCATCTTCTTTATCTTCAGTATTAATATCAGAAAATTTTTGAGAGTACAGTTTTGTGCAGATCTTCAGATCTAAAATCTGTGCAAAACTTCAAACCTGATGACAATTAGTAAAGAAAAAAAATTAAAAAATCTGCACAGATCTGTAATAAAATGTAGATCTGTGCAGATTTTTTTAAAATTCTATGCAAAACTTCACAATATCAGTTTCAAGTAGCAGTAGCAATTTCAAGTAATTATAGCAGTAACAATTTTAAGTAACTGTAGAATTCATACATTAAACAATAGTAAAGATATTTATTTTATTGTAAACTATATATATATAATAAAATACAAATTTAAAGAAAACTATA